TCACTGTCCTGTGTAAAGAGGTCTCCCCACTGGTCCAGATTTCTCTAGTCTCATCATTATTTCCTGTGCATCTTCTAATTGCAGTAAGCAGAATTTTTTCCAAACTCTGTAAGACCTTTCATTGTCTCTCTTAACAAGAAGATAAAGCCTAACTTAAAAACATGACTTTAAATCCTTCTTTATCCTGCCCATCTCCACCCTCATCTCCTGTTGTCACTCCTTCAAATAAACTTTACCGTCCATTCATCCTGAATGACTTAGAATTCCCCATATCTCCATGTTTTCTGACATCTTTGTCTTTACACTCTCTTTTCTGTCTTCCTGAAAACTCCCAGTAAACTTTCAAAATAAAACTCAGATGCCATCTTATATGGAAACTTACTACGTAAGTTGAGAAAAACCTTGATGCTTCTTTCAATTTTTAGAACTATGTAAATATGTGAAACAACAATAATAGAGGAATGTTGAAATTTTTGCCAACCTGAGCTGAAAGAAGAGAACAGTTATAAACAAAACCAAAAACCAAGCTCATTGACATTGAGTCGATTCTGATTCATAGCAACCCTTTGGGTTTCTGAGACTGTAAATCTTTACGGAAGTAGATTGCCTCATCTTCCTCCCATGGAGCAGTTGCTGGGTTTGAACAACCTGCTTTCTGGTTAGCAACCAAATGTTTTACTCTGTATGCCACAAGAACACTTTGTTATGAACAGTGATGTTGACAGTTAGGATACCTAAGAACCACTGTGTAGGGCAGAGCACTAGTGAAAATGCAAATTCCTAGGTCTATCCCTAGAAATTCTAACTTAAAGTGTGGTTACTTCACACTTTGAGAAGCACTGTTCTGGGTAAAGGGGAGAATATATGACATGGCAGAGGGCCAACAAATTGTAATGTAACAGGCTATAGCATTTTGTGTCAATTAGCTATTGCTACAACAATGCTCTCTAGCAAGACACCCCAAATGCATTAGCTTAAAAGAACAACCACCACTTTGTGTGTGTGTGTGTGTCTGTGTGATTATTATACACATTAGCTGTGCAGTTCTGTTGAGCTGAGCCCGGCTATGCTGTTCTCAGCTGAACTCACTCACGTTATCTGGCGCCATCGAGCAGGTCAGCTGGTAGCTGGCTGGTCTAGGGTGGTCTCAGTTTGTCAGCTTGGCTTCACCACATGGCGTTCTAATCCTCCATTAGGCTGCCATGGATGTTTCTCATGGTACAGGGAGACTGGAGCTCAAGAGCTGTGCTGGCTGGGTCAGAACAGGCACACCAACACTTCTATTGAATTCTCTTGACTAGGTCTCAAGCCAGCCCACATTCAGGGGAAAATAGGCTTTATGTCTTTATGCGAAACGAGCCCTGGTGGTGTAAGGATTTACAGCCTTGGGAGCCCCGTAAACGGAAAAAAACAAACAAACAAACAAACAAAAAAACTCACTGCCGTCCAGTCGGATCTGACTCATAGCGACCCCTCCTTGGGTTTCCTAGGGGATATCACTACAGATGTGGATTGCCCAATCTCCTTTCTCAGGAGTGGCTGGCGGGTTTGAACCACCAGGCTTCTTGTTAGCAGTCAAAAGCCTTAGGCACTACACCACCAGAGCTCCAAGAGACCCCTATTGGACAGTTCTACTCTGTCCCATAGGGTCACTACCCATCAAAATCAACTTCACCCTGATGGTGTTGGAATCTTTATGGGAAGAGCTGCAACAGGACATGATACAGTTTTTTTGCAATCAGGCAACTACAGGGACTTTTCATCTTTCCACTGAATGGGCGGAAGGGAGCTGTGTAGGGTGGTGTCAACCTGACATGTTCATTTTACATTCAGGAGGTAGTGAGGAGTGAAGGGTCTGAACAGCAAAGAAACATGTTTAGAAGTCTGTGTTTTGGAGGAATAAACTGGCCATGTTTAGGAGGTTGATAGGAGAAGAGAGGGGCGGGTGAAAGAGTACTTTCTCCCAATCATCTAAACCCCAAACCAAGCATTGCCATCATAGGGTTTCCAAGGCTGTAAATCTTTAAGGAAGTAGAATGCTTCATGTTTCTCCAGCTGAACCCTGTTGAGTTCCAACTGCTGACCTTTTGGTTAGCAGCCCAATGTCTTAGCCACTACAGCAGCAAGCTCCTCCCAATTATCACATTAATGAGGGTTTGGATTAAAGTGGTGGCAGTGGGGCCAAAATCGATAGGATAAGAGCAAGAAATTTCCTTATAATGACTAAACAAAGACTGCTGATGGGATTTGAGGAGGGAGAGATGTGTAACATCTCCTTAATGATTTCCCTTCTTTCCTTCATGCCAAACTCAGGTATTCAACAAAATTCTCTAGTTCTACATCGAGAGTTTGCACAATTGATTGTTGTATGATATTATGACATGGATGAGTTGGCAGGATACAATCATATGGCAGGGAATTAGACCTACTGTTTGGGTTCACCGCACTAATGGGGGCTAAACGTTCTTATTTCATCCAGACCAGAAGTTTGTCAGGATGAAAGCTATAGTTTATTTAGCTCCTTTTCCCCCATCAGGCATTGCATACTTCCATAGATTGTAATTTTACATTTTGGGAAAGATTTATTTAAAATGAGATAAAGTTGCACAAATATCTTATTTCCAATTTTATTTAAATCAAATAATGTTGTGATTGATATGAAGAAATTTGCAGAGACCACATGAATTTTATTGAAATAAAAATTTAAGGACAAAATTCTAATACCTAATTATTTTAACCTCAAATAATTAAATGCAAAGGATATACATGTTAAATTGCTGCAAACGTGTACACCTTTCACAGTGCATGTAATGGAGTTGTAAACCATTTTATGCTGCTTTATTATAAATAATCAAAAATAATATATCATTTTCAAATCCAGGTAACAAAACAGTAAATATCATGCTTCCTTTTTTTTAAAAAAATTATTATTTCACTTAATTTTTTTTTTAATATAAGTTGAGAAATTGTCTGCCTTATTCAAACTGCTTAAAATTAAAAAAAAAAAATCTTTAGGAACACAAAAGAACACAACACTTATTTACTTTTACTTAAATGAAAATAATCAAGAATTTTAGAAGCAGGGTTATGAAGGAGCCACTAAGACTAAGAAAACTGTAACACCTGCAAATTGGGGTTGTACAAAGATACAAGAAATAGAAAAACTTAATGGTAAACATTAAAAAATATTTTCTTCAAATTTTGAATAGCTTTATTCTCTTGAATGGAGGAATGCCACCCAGGCAAAGGGGGTCAAATCAAGTCGGAAATGCATATCATTGCCTTGGAAATTGTTTTCTGTTTCTTTCCAGAAAACAGACTCAATATCTATTTCAATGATTGCATATATCTCATGTTTTGATAAAACTTTACTATTCTATCTTCAAGAATCTAGATGCAAAGACCTCTTCTTGATCACACGTTGCAATAACTTCAAATTACCACAAAACTTTGTGCCCAAATATTAACTCAAAATGAAATATTGTGAAGGAATATTTTCATTAAGAGATATATAGCAGCTAGTACTCATAATTTTATCAATTAGTTGGGTGGCTATGATTGTTTTTCTTATATGTGTTTCTCTTACATACAATATAGTTTTGCCAATTTTCTCCACTAATAATAATTTTTAAAAATCAGAAATAGCTTAGGAAAACAGCCTGAAGGAGAAAAACATAAAGAGGAGTAATGTATTTCATAAAGAAATATAGTAGCTTTCTTTGAAAAGTTGTGTTTATTTGCATCAATTAAGGATAACGTTGCAGATTAAACAGCTACTAGGTTTACCATGGATATAAACATGCTATGTACAATAATGTTCATAATTCTTCTTTTATTTTTCATAGACTTCAAAGTGTATCTTTTATAGAAACTGGAACAGGGTGGATCTGGTAAGCATGTTTCAGTTAATTAACAAAAATTAAATTAGCATGTAATAACAGAGGGAAGAATTGAAGATCTAAAACCCTTCTTAAAATAATGAAGTCACCCTAAGTGAACACATGCAAGGAGATACTACAAAATGAACTGTTCCAGTTTCAATATAATACACTTGAAAATACTGCTTTCCTTTATAGTATCAAAGGAAATATTAAATGCATGTATATTATTTTTTTAAAAAAAACACTTAATGATATATTTCACATTCTTTAAACTTTCTTCAGGCTATAAATATATTTATATATCAGTCAGTCAGTTTTTACAGTAAATGAAAACTGCAACATGGGGGAGGGGTATGTAATTATTTTACCTCAGACGTCCTTACTTATGTTCATTTTAAAAATGAAAACAATGTGTAATGAAATAAAATATAATAGAGTGTGTTTTGATGTCACACTGTTATTCTTCATGCACTACGATTCATTGTGGTTTACCAAAGTGAAGTTAAATTTGAAGATGGTCTATAGAAATCAACTATTGAGTATAATACTCCAATTAGGCTTCTGAAGTCCATTAACATTTAACCAACTCAGGGGATATTGCCGTTCTTCTTGGACATTTATCAAAATTGTGCAATGGTATAAATTTGTTATAGGTTTGCATAGAAATAACATCATTTCCCTGGTGCAATACATCTTTTCCAAAGGATTATGGAAGGCCTGTTTTCAGTCTTTATGCATATCTTTTGTTTTCTCATTCTTTCTCTCCTCTTCAGTTTTACATAAGCCCTATGTTCCAGCTGGTGATCATAGTCCCAAACGTTGATCCAGTAGTAGTCTGAAGCACAGTGAACTGAGCAGTTTCTCCTCTTTCAAAAGCATGACAGGGAGTGGCATTCTGTATATTCATGCCATATGAACACAGCGACCCCACATAGAGAAGTCTGCAAACTCAAAAGGCCTCAAATCCACAGTTCAGAATCCTGATGACTTCATATAACTACCCCTCGTTGCTGGAAGGGAGACGATATTGTTTGCTTCAGGCATTTTCAAGAAGTTTCTCATCTGGTAGTTTTCCCAGATTTCTTTGTCGTTTTCGTAATTGCTTTTGACATTGTGCTTTCAAAAGTCCAAAGGTCGGATCATCATAGTCGTGGAACGTAAGGAGTAACTGGGCCCTTTGAAGTAGTGCCACTTTATCCCATTCAGCTTTCCATGGTTTTGTCCAGCAGTATAGAACATTCCATTTAGATTGGAGGGGCCACAAGCATCAAACCACCAGCCTGGAATATCAGTTAAAAAGGAAAAGAGAGAAGAAACAATGATAAGTAAGTCAAGCATGTAAAAATTGATGCATTAACTAAAAGTGAAATTGTTCTTATTATGGTTATTTGCACAGAGAAGGCATTCAATAAACGTCTGTTCAATAGTGGAATTGTTTTAAATGACAACTGATTTAGGTAGTGTATGAACAGTCAGAGGAAAACCAGTGTTCAGTGTGACGCCATTTGAACTCATTTCCACTATAATGATGTGTAGCATGAGGGCTTCAAGAGAAGAACTAAGTCAGGCCTGACTTTACATATACCAAACAAACCAAGCTCGCTGCCATTGAGTTGGTTCTGACTCACAGAGACCCCCCACTGCGTTTCCAAGGCAGTAAATCTTTATGGAAGTAGACTGTCCTATCTTCCTTCTGAGGAGGGGTTGGTGGGCTTGAGCCACCAATCTTCTGGTTAGCAGCCAAATACCTTAGGCACTATGCCATCAGAGTGCCTTGACTTTATATATAGGGCAATTAAAATACAGGAACCCTTAAGAGACATTTCATTTCAAGCCTGTTACTGGAACTAGAACAATTAATTATTAGTAAAGATGTTCAGTAGCTTATCAAATTGAGATCAAAATAGATGCAAAGAGATGTTCTCTATCCATTTTATTTATAATTTTGCCAAGAACTGGTCCCAAGGTGCTTCTGAAATTGATTGGATGCTGGGAAATCAGTATAATGCCCAAATTGAGAATTACTTTATATGTTCTCCCTAGAACTATAGCAATATAAGAAGAATTCAATAGTGGCCATATACTACCATATACTACTATATAGCCAACACAAATGGAAGAAATGACAAAATAAAGGAGCTGAACAGAAGATTTCAAAGAGCAGCTTGAGCAGATAAAGCCAATTATTATAACAAAATGTGCAAAGACTTGGAGTCAGAAAACTAAAAGGGAAGAACACACTCAGCATTTGTCAAGCTGAAAGAACTGAAGAAAAAATTTAAGCCTCGAGTTGCAATATTGAAAGATTCTATGGGCAAAATATTGAATGATGCTGGAAGCATCAAAAGAAGATGGAAGGGATATACAGAGTCACTGTACCGAAAAGAACTGGTAGATCTTCATCCATTTCAGGAGGTGACATATGATCAAGAACCAATAATACTAAAGCAAGAAGTTGAAGCTGCACTAAAGGAATTGGTGAAGAACAAGGCTCCAGGAATTGACGGAATACCTATTGAGATGTTTCAAAAAACGGATGCCCCACTGGAAGCACTCACTCAGTTATGCCTAGAGATTTGGAAGACAGCTACCTGGCCAACTGACTGGAGAAGATTCATATTTGTACCCATTCCAAAGAAAGGTGATCCCACAGAATGTGGAAATTATCGAACAATATCATTAATATCACATGCAAGTAAAATCATACTGAAAATAATTCAAAAATGGCTGCAGCAGTATATTGACAGAGAACTTCCAGAGGTGCAAGCAGGATTCAGCAGAGGATGTGCAACAAGGGATATCATTGTGTCTGTCAGATGAATTTTGGCTAAAAGCAAAGAATACCAGAAAGATGTTTACTTGTGTTTTATTGACTATGCAAAAGCATTTGATTGTGTGGATCATAACAAATCATGTATAACATTGAGAAAAATGGGAATTCCAGAACACTTGATTGTGCTCATGAGGAACCTGTACATAGACCAGGAGGCTGTTGTTTGTACAGAACAAGGGAACACTGCATGGTTTAAAATCAAGAAGGGAGTGCGTCAGAGTTGTATCCTTTCACCATATTTATTCAATCTGTATGCTGAGCAAATAATATAAGAAGTTGGACTGTGTGAAGAAGAACATGGCATCAAGATTGGAGGAAGAATCATTAACAACCTGTGATGTGCTGACAACACAACCTTGCTTGCTGAAAGTGAGGATGACTTAAAGCACTTACTGATGAAGATCAAAGAATACAGTCTGCAGTATGGATTGCATCTCAACATAAAGAAAACAAAAATCCTCACAACCTATAAGCAGCATCACAATAAATGGAGAAAAGATTGAAGTTGTCAAAGACTTTACATTGCTTGGTTGTACCATCAATACCCATGAAAGCAGCAGCCAGGACATCAGAAGACATATAGCACTAGGCAAGTCAGCTGCAAAAGACCTCTTTCAAGCGCTGAGGAGCAAAGATGTCTCTTTGAGGACTAAGGTGCACCTGACACAAGCCATGATGTTTTCAATCGCTTCATGTGCATGTGAGAGCTGGACAATGAATAAGGAAGACTGAAGAAGAATTGATGCTTTTGAGTTGTGGTGCTGGCAAAGAATGGTGAAAGTGCTGTGGAATGGTAAAAGAACAACAAATCTGTCCTGGAGGATGTGCAGCCAGAATGCTCCTTGGAAGCAAGAATGGCCAGACTTTGTCACACCTACTTTGGTCATGTTATCAGAAGGGACCATTCCCTGGAGAAGGATGTCATTCTTGGTAAGGTGGAAGGTCGACGAAAGAGGGGAAGGCCCTCAATGAGATGCACTGACATAGTGGTTGCTGGAGATGGGCTCAAGTGTAGCAAGGATTGTGGAGATGGCAGGTGACCGGCGGTGGTTCTGCTGTGCATAGGGTCGCTATGAGTCGGACATGACTCGACAGCACCGACCAACAACAACTATTGTACGGAAGGGAAGGGGAGCGAAGATTTTGGACTAGTTGGAGGACACATGTTGATTTGCGTGAGGGGAGGCATGGTATGGAAAGAGTCTGTGACCAGCATGATGATGTTGGGGAAAGGAAGGACACTGAAATGTGCACATAAGATATAGACAAGAGAGGCAAATAATAGTGTATGCACAATACTGCATTACCACTAACACCAAACACCAGGCGACAGATAAATGCAGACAATTGAGATCAGGTGAGGGTCGGTGACCAGGAATATACCCTAGACTAAGGATAGATTTAGCTGAAAACAAACAAACAAACAAAATAGTAGCCATATATGGGTGGTCCCTAACTTATGATGTATTCGAGTTACAAAGAACTGTACTTACTACTGTCCATTTTTTGGAGCTATTTTTGTGCTTTTTATCATTTGTAATATGTTCTACATAAAATGTTGCAGTATGTAATTTGCTTTGTTATCATTCTCAGATGTTTCCTCACAGATACTCAGTTTTACGATTTACTGTTCAAAACACTGACGTACAGATTTACTTTTCTAAATGAAATCAGAGGATTCAGTTGCTTGGAAACATGGACCCAAATGCTGAGCGCTGTGCTAAGGTCAATAGACAGATCCAGGCAGCGGTTAAAGGTTACCATGAAATATATGAAGAAAAAGGAAAAGGACCATAGAGACAACTCTCACTAATTTTCTGACCATAGCCATTCCCAGGATAACCCAGATGATCCAGAACCTTCCGCATGTGAAGTTATTATAAAATGCCAATATCATCCAAATCTTCATCATGGGAGTAAATTTTATGATTTGTGTATGTTTTATGCATGCATGTACAAAATATATCTGTAAGTTTATATGTAATGTTTCCAACCCCAAAGACAAATAACGATTGGATTTATAAAGACATAATGAAAACTAAAAAAAAAAAAAAAAAGAGGTATTCCGAAGGGAACCCTGTGGTAAGTTGGGGACTGCTTAGAGTTCCTGAAGGAGCTCTGCTGGTGTAGTGCCTAAGGCATTTGACTGCTAACCAAGAAGGCTGGTTGTTCAGACCCACCAGCCACTCCACGGAAGGAAGATTGGGCAAGCCACGTCTATAGAAATACCTCCTCAGAAACCCAAGGAGGGGTCACTAAGAGTCGGATCCCACTGGAAAGCAGTGAGTTTGGTTTTTTGGTTTTATAGTTCCTGCAATAGAAGGCTCTATTTTCTCTGTGATTGTTTAAGGGCTGTCTAAATGTAGTTAGAAGAAACAAACAAACAAAAACTTATGATGATTAACATGGAGAGCCTATGCACTTTATTTTTTTTCTTAATTAAATTTTTAGGTTTTTTATTTTTAATATATATAAAACAGTCTCCTTTCTCCCTCTCCTGAGGTAACATGACCAAGATCTTAAGGGAAAGATTTATGCCAGAGTCCTTTGGCATACTTTTATTTGGATACAGTTGACCTCCCTTTGATTACAGACTTATACCTAAGGGACTAATAGCTAAACAAAGAGAAAGCTGTACAGCTGATCTTTAACTGTAACATGAGCATCATCTTGCAGAAATTTTAGGAAAAGCTAGTCCTCATTTTTCAACTTTGGAAGATGAATACAGCTGGGTTATGTTTGTGAAGTCAAGCTAGGGGCATGGCAGACAGCACTAACCACCAGTTTATACTGGAGGATGGTAAGGTATGTCTTGATAAATTTGAAAAGACATGTATTTAATGGTGTTTTACCAACTGTATGCGAACAGCATAAATGTTAATGCAATTGAAACGAGAGGGACAAGAAGGCTCTTGTTTAATAGGAAGAAAGAGGCACTGTCAAATTTCATCTCTCTTCTTAAGATTAATTCCTTTAATTTTTGATAAGTACAACTAGTAAAAACGTGTTACTTATATTACAAAAGTCATTCCAATATCAAGGAATCCAATATCAATTATTTATCCAGAAGACTTGAAAGGACAAAATAAACCCAATTTTATTGCTTCAATTTTTCAACTTTTCTCTTCCTTTTCTATGACCTTCTTCAAGGGACTCATCCATTATGCTAAAGAGCCTGTGATAGCCTTTCAAATGTCCACTACAGATTCTGAAGCAAGCACACTTACTCTATTGTGGAGAACTACGATTCACAGAAGGCTCTTTCAAGCTGCATTAGGGTACTCATGGTAAAAGTGTGTGTTTTTGTTTATCTGGTTTATAGAAAGTCACAAGAGTCCTGGAAAAGTGTGGGATGGCAGAGATCTTTTGCAACAACAGCCTGGCAATAAAGGGCATGCACTAATGGATACATGCATTGGGAAACTTGGGATGAGTTTAGGAAAGAGT